GACTTCCGACCTTAAAATGTAATTATTGTGATGAAAGAATATCTTCATAATGGATATGATTATGATTTTCTTTTTCGCCACGCATACCGGCATACGTACATACAAAAATCCTTTTTCTGGAAGTAAAAGTGGCTTATCATAATGAATTTTTTAACATAATGGCTGTTAAATGGTTAAATGCGCCTCAACATTGTTTTTATTTGAACCATTTGAATCGATTAAAAAAAAAAGGATTTATTAGAGAATAATGATTGTCATTTTTTAATTGTTTTTCAAAATATACCAAATTAGAATAACTTTATCCGAAGGTCGCGCATAATTAACACGTAAACGTGCATCAAATTGAAAATTTTAAAAAGAACTCCCACGTAATCATACGTAATGCATTCAAAAAACATCGAGTAAGATTATTAAGTTATATTTTAGGTAAAAAAAATTATAAATTTGAAAATATTTGAAACACATATATGGTTTCTTTTAAATTTATCAAAAAAATTAATCTATATAAATATTACTAATATAGTAGAATTAAACCAAGTTAAAATCGTTATCTAACTTGATTTTGATCTAGTTTTTTTTTTTTTTTTGTGAACCCTTTGCTTTTATTTTGATACTTTATTCTGATTAGTGGATAAGATGTTGTTCATTGATGTTAAAAGATAAAAATCTAAATTGTTTAATTGGAAGACAAAGAATTTGTTTATAATTTGTTTGCTCAAATAAAATTTAATGTAATAATGTTTGTTGGTAATCTTTTTCTTATCAAATATTTTTTATATTTTTTTTTTTTTTTTTTTTTTTGAATTTCTCAGAGAATTATTTGTTTCTTATTGTTCTCATTATTGAATAGAAAAAGACCTGAGTTAAAATGCATCCCTTCTTTTTGATCTTATTGNCATCTTCTTATGATTTTTTATTTTCTTGAATTTCTCAGAGAATTATTTGTTTCTTATTGTTCTCATTATTGAATAGAAAAAGACCTGAGTTAAAATGCATCCCTTCTTTTTGATCTTATTGAATTTTCCAAAATTATCTTTATCCATAAAGGTCAAATTAAAAAATACATAAGCGGAGATTAATTTTCCACTTTAAAATAATGCTTCTCGCGTGTGGAATACACATTATCATGCGACGCGAATTAATTATTTTATTTTATTTTTTTTTTCACAAGTAAATCTGATTATCAATCTTTTAAGACACGAATCGATGAGATGCAAATTACGTACATTATTAATAGTATTATACCATTTTTTTAAAAAAAAATCATCACATTAACTCCTTAAATTTTTCATTGAACCTTTCTCTAAAAAGGAAATTGTTTTTTTTGTCTTGTTAACCTTTTTCTTATCTCTTATTTTTCATAAAGAGAAAACCATTGTAGAATTCATCCGAATATAAAGTACATAAATATGTATGATATGTATGTATTTTTAATTTTTTTAATCTTTAATTCCGACTATTTTTTTTGAAGATATGTAAAATATGTAAAATATGTAAAAAAAATATGTGAAATATGAAATATATGTGATTATATAATAAAAATTAACAACGAATCATATAAAATCGGATTTCCCAGTTTTTGCCATTTTAATTTTATAAATTTTTCTTTCATTTTTAATATTTTTTTTTTTTAAATTGGGTTATAATAATTATCATTTTTATTTACTTTATTGGAAGTATCTCTCCTTACATATTTTTACATATTTTTTAGTTTGCATAAATTTTGATTTTATAGACAGCTTATTTTGATTGAGATTTAATCGTGATAAAATTTATGATAATCTGACTACAACTATTACAACTATTACAACTACTATTACTACAATATTTTTAACATATTTTTAAAAAAATTTAAATGTTTTTTAAGAACAACTTTATAAAATTAATTCTTAAAAAAAAAATTATATGTATCTTTCGATAATAAAGTATGATGTAAGTTCGGTTAAATATTTAAGAGATCGCGTGATATGCGCAGTAATGATAAACTAATCCTGCGCCCTTTTCCTAATTTTCCTAATTTTCCTAAATGTTGAGATCATATATGCATGCAAACTTATATTAGCATTTATGTAAGGTACATATGGACATATTGTTAATTACATGATTTCACCGTAAAGTTGGTCTAGGTCGCATAATTGGTCACAGGAAATTTCAGCAAAAATCATGAATGCTTTATTGTGATTTATTGTTTGTGTAACATCGACGATCAGTGATGCTATAAAAAGAATCAATGGACAACATTGTAATTTATTAATTCTCTTCTTTCCCATATTAAGCAAATCTAGGTACACGAAAATTTCTTGATTTGATTTTTAACAATATAGATTAAAACAATATGCCTAGCGAAAGAAAACAAGAAAATGAAAAATGTAGATAATGTATTAATATGTCATAAATAACCGATAATGATATTTATATAAAACCATGTGTAATAATTACTTGCTTCGTTTAGTTATCTATATGAAACACTCACAGGCCAAGCCATTTTAAATTATAATAATCCGCTGCTTATCACCGAAAGGAAAAAAAATATGAATGACTCTAATTTTAGTTTGCTTCCCTTGTTTTTCTTCTATTAACTCATTCGAGAAAAGAACGCCTCCTCTTATTTTTTTATGATATTCCGATACATAACATGGCAGCAAAATTTATATCCAATCATTACGGATAACTCCTATTCAATAAATTTACTTTTTTTGTTATTCGCATTAATTTTTCAACTCCGCCCCACGATTTCCCTCTTTAGGTTTTCAAAATAAAAAAAAAAATAATTTTTTTTTTTTTCGTTAAACCCCGAATGAAGAAAAGGTAATTCTAATGTATGTTTACTAAAAATTTTTCTTTTTGCTTCTACATATTTCCCCCAAATTCCCCCACAGGTGTGTTAAAATGAGTGCCCGAAACGCCGAGAAATTTCACACTAAATTTATATCTACTTTTGATCTTTATTAATTTTACAAATGAAGTTGATTATTAAGTACGGAAGGTTCTAAAAAACTTATTTTTTTTTTCCTAAAATATTTAAAAGTATTTATCATTATCAAAGTCATATATGAAAAAAAATAAAAATAAAATAAAAAGGGAATATCGGATGTTTCTTTGATCATCCCTTTATGGTTTAACACGTTTTTTAACGCACTTTTTAACGGATCAAAATAAAAAAGATAGTTAATAATCATTACAATAATCATAATAATTTTAGTAATTTTGATAAAAGGTTTGATAAAGTTTATTTGATTATCATAATTTTCTTTTGCATATTGCATAATTTACATAATTTACATAATATTTTCAATTTAAAATATCTGCATTTATTAAAAAAAACTTTTTTTTTTATTTTTTTTTCCTTTTTCTTTTTTCCTTTTACAAGTTATAATTAAAAATAAAAAAATATTTATTTTTTTTTCTTTTTTTAAATTTTTTATTTATTTTTTTTTTCTCTTTTAGGTTAATCAAATAATTTTTTAAAGTTTAATCTAAATAAACATAACAAATACACCAAACAGTACATTTTAAATTAAATTTAG